ACTCCGCCTTAAACTTGGCCAATCTTCTTTTATGGATTATTAATTTATAATTGTAGAACCTGATGAGAAATTATTGAAAAGAATATTCTTCGTTCATATAATTGTGGTTATGTAATTCTTGAAATTCGTATAAAAGCTCTGTACTTATCGATAAGGATAATTTTCTTCACAATATGGACGTCAGTAATGTGCAAATTTGAGGCTCTGATGTTCCTCACGTAGTCACAGAAACGGAAAATGCATTTCTGAATACATTGTATCTGGTAGCGTTTCCATCACTGGAAGCGTTAAGGAGCGCCATTAGAACTTATGAAATAGCAACGTACTGCCATTATGCGGTGAGAGATTCTCATTTCCATGGAGATCGGAAGCCGTACATTAAATTTGTATGTTGGAGAAAGAGCTATAAAACACCAAGCGGTTCTTCGCAGCGGATTAGACGAAGGAGGTAATTTGATTAGTATTATTATATTGTTCATTGAGGACCTCAAGGGACACACAATGTCCGGCCTTCATCTTTTGTAAGTTTCTTGAAGGTTATTGGACTGTTGTTCGTGGGAATGTGCATCACAATCACGAGTGCAATTCCCTGAGGTACGACTGTAACACATGGATGAGCTGATTAACGGCGGCGGAATTGGAAACAGTGAAGCCACTGTTGATATTTGGAACATCAACATTCAATGTGATACACTACGCGTACCAATCCTAATGGAAACGTCTTACTGCTCTAGATGTTTTCAATATGCGTCACAAAGTGTTCTCACAGGCCAACCTTCCTGGTAAGCAATGTGCATATTTATACTATTAACTGTAGGTGATTACGGTAAATTGAAAAATCACATAACGTCACTTGGTGGCCGTTGTGATTATCAACTGGATGCAGATCATAGTCTGTTGTACTTCTTCTTCGCTACGGCAGACCAGATCAATCTATGTAACAGGTTTTTAGGTGTTGTTGAAACAGCAGACAGGAATTTCTACCAATATTTGAGAGATCAGTTATTGTCCAAAAAGCACAAGTGGTCGAACGATTTTAGACCAGCTGCAATGCTTCTAGATCAAAGGAATACAAATTTGATTTAAATTTTGTTTGAATTTCTTGTTTCCATTTTAAGGAGGAGTCATGAAACCATCAATAATTCATTTCACATTCATATGATTTGGTTACTAGGTACAGCAGAAAAATGTAGTAAGATCAGTTCACTAGTACAACAAGATCATTTCTATTGCTAAGGTCAAGTGAACAGACACTGATCGGTCATCACAATTCCATAGTAATTAAGCTGTAGATTAATAATTATCATCGCTCACTTTATTACCATGCCAACAGCTTTCCAGGTTTTTCAAATTTAAGGTTTCAGTGAACGATTCCGTACAGAAAACAACGTCATATAATGAAGACTTACATGTCTAACAAGTCATTAATAATAATAATGGAACATACGAAATGTAATAATAATGTTTCTCATGAGATTTATCACTGCATTGCAAAAATTCGATACAGTGATAAATGTCATTTAGACATTTGATAAATGAATGTACAGTTTAACTTGACAGACTGAAATACGATATTGTGAATACATAATGGTTACTTGATACAATTGACCTTATTCCACATTAAGTCATATCATTGAAATAGAAATTTATTTCACTAGACATAGGCTTGTTCATTGACACTTCATTCAACCTATATTACACATATGCTTGTCAAAGAGGGTTATTTTTTCAACATTCAGCGATTTACTGTTTGACAGTTTAAGAGTAATTATTTTCCCTTTTGACGGAAAATGTACATACAGTTTCTCATTGTTCGTCCAGTATGTTTAACGAAGGGAACTGTTGGATTTGGAAATATAATTACAGTCTTTCTAATTAATTAACGTTTACAATGTCATTTACAAATGACAATAAAAATTTCAGATCATTAATTTGAAAGGCTGTGCACTTAAAAAGCATTGGCTGTTAACATTACGTGCCAAAAAATGTTATGCCCACCTCACAAACACAATTACCGTATTACATGATGACTGAGTACAACACTATCATGTATTTTCGGTGATCGTTAATAAGTGATCAACTACAAAGAATGTACAGGTCAACATATTTTATGCTTTGAATGGATTTACAAAAAAACCTTGATAATAATCTTGCATTCATTTACGACACCCTTTTCAAAGCTAAACTGATCCACTTTTTGGTATTAAGAATAACGGTTTGCAAAATAAGTGAATTATAAAGATTATTTGCTTTTTTCTCAGACATTATTACTAATTTCAGATAGCGTAAAAGTTGCTTCATTCACACATCTTTTACGGTTAGCGTGACTTCGGCATGCCCCATTCACTTTCTCTTCATCATGATTTATTCATATATTTTCACGAGTATAACGTTTAATAAATGAGCCAACTATGTGTTCAATTAACTTATGGAAATACTTAAATGAAAATGTGTTTACTAATTGTGTATTAAACATTTGACTACCTTTGAAATTCAATAATCACCATTATCAACTATTAATAACAGTTGTCAGTTTTTTTTTTCAAAAATTAACGTTCAATAATCTACACGTTATTATTACCCTTGTCACGATAACTGATAACTTTAGTTGCATTTCTACTTCATAAAAAGAAATTATCCCGATATACATTCACTAACAGGAGTATAGCAGGGTAATGAAATGGATTTGTTTTTGTTTTTTTTCGAAGTCAAGATTTTTTACAACACTCAGATGGAACAATGCGAAAATAGTTAATTATTGTAAATAATAATCCGATGTAAAAATGTCAATTCTTACATCCAATAAAAGCACTTTATTCTAGTTTGATTTGAACGAATCAAATTACAAAACTGCACCATTTACAGCCAATTAAAAAATTATTACAGGTGACAAAATGTTTGTTCATTTTCACTTGAGCACACACTTTCAAAGACAAATTCACCAATCACCAATTGCTAAATTTTTTTTCACATCCTTCATTTTCGAAAAAAAGGGTGGTAGGGGATTATACGAGCCGTGATTCTAATGTCAACCCATAATAAGGATAGGGGAATATATATAATTATAGAAGGGGTTTTGTGGAGATTTAGTATTTATCATTGTTGAAAGCGTGAGTCAATTGAAGCTAGACCATATAACACCTGTCATCCCCTCTAATGTCTGACTCATCGAGACAACCAATCATTATCATTCTCGCCCACACATCACCTCCCTCGCGAAGTTTGATCGTATGATTTCACTTTAGGGTCTACTTGAAAAAATTTCGTTTGTTTCCGTTTCCTGAATGACCTTCGTCTAACTTCTGATTCTAGATCATTTTTTCTCATTTCAACTTGTGGTGGTGGTGGTGGAATATCAAACGTATCACATAATACTTCCATTGGTAATGATTTGAGTTTAGATGACTCATAAACACATTTTCTATCTCGCAGTTGATTTACATGTCTAATAATTAGTGTATTTTCGACCATCACTTCATATAATACTGTACCACGTCGTTTTTTTATAAACCCAAATATCCATTTTGGCTTGCCAGGCCGGAAATCCCGTGCATAGACTGAGTCACCTACTTTGAATTCTCGAATTTTCGGGCAATTCCCTTTCTTATTTTTTTGTAGTCCACTGATTCTGTCTTTCGGATTCAAAACATCAAAAAACGTTCTAATCGGTCGGCCAAACATTATTTCGGCTGAAGATTCCCCATCTTGACAGTTTGGACTTGGCGTAATTCTATAAGAAATGAGAAATTGTTGCAGAGCCTCTTCTACGTTGCCTTCTCCTCCCATCTTTAAGAGAGCTCGTTTAAGAATATCAACAAATTTCTCTGCCTGCCCGTTCGACTTAGGGTGATACGGTGGAGTTCTAACGTGTTCGATTCCATTCTGTTTACAGAACTCCGCAAACTCTAACGACGTGAACTGCGTCCCGTTATCTGAAACCAAAACATTAGGTGTACCAAACCTACCAAATAGTTGTCTCAGATGTAGCAGTGTTTCAGACGTAGATGTTCTTCGTACAACATAAATTTCAGTCCATTTTGAGTATGAATCAACCACCACCAAAAAATATTGTCCACTTATTGGTCTAGCATAATCAACGTGTAATCGGACCCAAGGTTTTGTTGTTTCTGGCCATGGCTGAGATTCTACTTTCGGTGGATCTTTTGCAACTTCGGCACATCGCCGACATCTCACTACGTATTCTTCCACAGCCTTATCCATGAATGGCCAATAGACATAACTACGCATAACTGCTTTCATTCTGTTCATTCCCGGATGACCAATGTGAAACTGTTTAAGCACAAAAAGCTGAAGAGATTTAGGGATAACAACACGTTTACCATACATCAAACAATTATCATAAATCGATATAGACTCACGTCTCAGGAAAAATTGGTGAAACTCTCGATCAGCTTTATTATTTCGCTCTCATTCACATACTTCCGTTGATTGTTGTTCTTCTTTTTTATTATACGCACTTTACATTCTATCTCTTCACAATCTCATTGTTATTGTGTGGCGCATGTGTATTTGGTGTCTCCTTGTACCAATATGTTCAAATAAATAAAGATTTGTTTTTCACGCCTAAAAGTTCACTAGTAAATATAGTCTACCTTTGTTATGTGGTATGTTATGATTTAATTGATGTTGTACTCAATAATGAGATTATTTTTAACTTGGTTTTCGCCGTTTTATTTTTAAGCATCCGTTATGTTAAAGTTAATTTCTTTGGATATAAAAGTGATCATAATAATTATGATATATATATAAATAAAAGTCCACATGTTATGACCTATAGAATCCACTTTGTGTTTAGGATTATTGACTCATATTATTTATAATGTAATCACTAAGTATATATATATATCCCTCTCTTCTAATTTCAGGCAGCTTTGGAGGCTCTTACAGACTTAGACTTGTTTGGTGCTGATGGGAGCTATCTGTCAACAATTCGTGTTTCTCTCGATGAATGTGAACAGTGTGATATAGCTGATAAAAGTATGCTTCCTCGTGAGTCCAACTCCAAAGAGACCGATGCTGGATTGTTAAGTATACTGACATATCCTGGGTTTTCTGTCACAGACGATGAATTAATTGAAAGTACACGTAGCGCAATCATTCGGAAGCTTTTGGGGAGGTTAGCAATCGCTTAAGATTATGATGATCATTTGAATGATATGTGAATTTTTGTCTTGGTAAATAATTAGAATACCATTCTTCAAGATATTCCACACTTACGTAATTGAAGACAAGCTTAAAATGTAAACATTACAGTAGCTGTTAGGAGATCGTCAATCAATTACAGCGATTATGATCTCATTACTTACATCAAGGTGTGAACTATCAACTTGTATGAAGTTAGACAATCTACAGTTGTGAAATATGAGTCACTAGGCCAGAAGAGTTAAGGCTAAATCAATTTTAATTATCCTTGAAGCATGTGGAAGTGATGAAGTAAGTTGAGTTGAGGTTAGTTACAAACGTCTATGCAAAAGTGTGTAAGCCAGCTGATAATATAATCTGTTGTTTGAAGTGACTTGGCTATCTTTTCACTATACCTATTATGAAAGTTATTCATGAGTGATTATACTAAAATTAGGCATATGGAGTCGCCTCACTATTGAAGCTCACATGAAACGAACAAGGAATCTCAAGTTAACCATCCGAATATCTTTCTTGTATTACATAGATTTATGCCGTATATTGAATTTTGTGTGCTAGTGATTCCAGCACACCATCCAGTACTATGTATTTCTAACTGTTTTATAATATAGTGGATAAAGTACTGAACTTTGATAGTTTCGTATCTATCTGCCATCTTACCAGTATAGAAGTTATATCGAATTTATTTGTTTGATGTTTTGACCCTAATTATTTTCTCAAATGTATCATGACCAAACTCAGCGAATTGTTATGCGAAAGGTTATCCAAATGACATTCTGACTTAAACTGCTTCCTTACAAAACCATTTCGCAACCTGTTAACACTTTTGTTTTCGTGTAAATTTGACACTAGATATGGTTGTCGACGTTTCTTACGTGATGGATTTCGTACTGTTAGAGAAGATGTAAACCGTCTGTATTACGAGCCTTGGGAGCTACGTATGTTTGATGGTATTGAGTGTGAATGGCCAATGTTTTTTGCATGGCTTGTGATTGATGCAAGTTTCCGTGAAGATTTTGACGATGCAGATCGATATATGCAGATGCTTCAAGAAGTCGTTATCCCAGAGGTAATTGGTTTTATGGTTTGTGGAGATTGTTGAGCTTTATAGTTAACATGACAGACTGACCTTAGTTAGACAACCACTGGAAATCAGGAAGCACTAGATGGTTGTTTCGGCTTATTATGATGCTCCTTAGCAGTGTGAATTCACAACCCAGTGAGGTTTAGACCCCTGATCTTCAGGTATGAACCTTTAGATTCCTGGGCTGACATTTAATGGTTTACATGTTTGATTTCAACCACTGGATGTTGGCTTTATGTTCTAAAGACTGACCACTCCCAGCAAGATCTTAGGGTCTTAAGTCATATCCCCGATAGGGTCTTACGTGCACACTTTTGAGGAATCCCATACTGGAACAAAGCGGTTGCCTAGTGATTCCTGGTTTTCAATGATCGCTTAACTAAGGTTAGCTCATGGTGTAAACTGCAATTGTTTTTGTTTTCCAGGCTTTCAGTAAAATTTAAAGTATTCAATTGTCTATGCAAAGCAATGCTAGCTGTGTTACACTTCTCAAGTCTGATTGTGTAATCGTGAAATATATATGTACTAATGATCTTGTTTCTAAATATGAGAATAACAGTTGTACGACTAAAACACCATTCTTCAAGGAATACAGAAATATTGAGAACACTTTGTACAAGTCCTTTCAATCATCTCAAATTTAATTCAGTACCATTTCCTCCAAAAAGTTTCAAGTTGACATTTCTCTTCATCATGTTACTCAATAACGTGTTCCACTAGATTTTCGTTCTCTTAGGGATTAGTATTTTGTCTGTAAAATAATAAGTTTGAGGTAATTTGATCATAGACCAAAACTCAAGACTCATTCGTTGACTGGAATATTTTTCTGTATGTTCAGTTAGACAATAAAGCACTTCGTATTCCGTTTTAATGATTTTTTGACTGCTTCAATGCGAACAAAGACAAATTTACTCGAAGCTGGATGTATATGACTTGTTCTTGAAGGAAGTTGACATCAAGACTTAACGTTTTGCAGCCGACAATGAGGAATGTATATCGAACAAAATTATAAAAGATAGAAATATGAACAGAAATTATTTACAAATTTAGTCCATTTTTACTATTCCTACATTGCTGATCATAATCGTTGACTGCACTGGATCCTAAATTTATCCGAATCGCTGTAGTGCAGTCCTGACAAATATGATGCTATCCCGATTCAAGTAAAGCATAAAATCATAACCAACTTTGAATAGTATTGTTATAAACGTAAAGGAGAGGATGCTGGTTATAACAGTAGGGGTTCTTGTTATAACAGTCCTTTTACTTCTTACACGTATGTGGGACGTTAATTTATCTTAGACGAATATCTACACTAGATTCCCACCCAGTGTCTATTCTACAGGACTTCAACAGAACTCAGATCAAGAACACAAGATTAGCCTGACTATAACGTCAATATATTTCACACCAAAACCCGACACAAGGAACAGTCAATACATAATAAGGATAGGGGAATATATATAACACATATAACACCTGTCATCCCTTCTAATGTCTGACTCATCGAGACAACCAATCATTATCATTCTCGCCCACACATCAGTTTCAATGAACAAATTGTGATAAGATTAATGATTACAGGGTCAAACGGAGCATACTTGTAGAGTATACCTAACCAGTTGTCCGAGCACAATGATCAAACGAAGATTAATTATATCTACGTTTGTATTTACAGTAGGAATGGGTTGTGGAAAATGTGCAGCAAAATAGTAGCTACTTATGAGTAGTATGGAATACAAAGTTTCATAAATCCATTTTGTAAAGTTTCATGAATGTTAAAATACCAGTTTGATTTAAGAATGAGGCTAATTTAGCGATGAGACTATAATTTATAGAGGACCTTTGAGCGACGCTTTAGTGACCGTGAGAATGTCCACTAGGACTAAATGAGTTTTATAAAGCACTGTGAAGAATTAGAATTATGATTTACAGCTGATAGTTAGTGTTAGAAACTAGGTTTAGGGTTTCCATCATGAACTGACATCAACTAAAATGCCTGAACTCTCTCTCTCTCTCTCTCTCTCTCTCTCTATATATATATATATATATATATATATATATATATATATATATATATATATATATATATATATATTACGCCTGTTAGCCCTCATGAAGGAGAATAAGCCACTCACCAGCATTCTTTATACACTTCTGTTCAGCTCCTATTCTTCCTTTTCATGTCTGCTTCCAATTCTCGATGCAATGTGTTCTTTAGCTTTCCTCTTTTCCGTTTCCCTTCAGCATTCCAATTTAGCGCTTATCTCGTGATACAGTTTGATGAGAAGTGACGACCTGTTTATGTAAAGAATAGAACCCAGTGGAGTTGCATAATGGGTGAGTTTGATAGTCTATTAAATGGTCACTGTTGTGTATGTGGAGTGAGAATGTTGACTGAATGTGGTCATTAGAGGGTGTAGTGTATGTAATCAGACAGACAGGGACGTAGGCATGTTTGTAAATGTTGAGGTGAGGAACAAAGTGTTTTTGAGGTGTTGTGAAAATATGTCGCGTCCCGTGACCCCCATTGTGAGATGAGACTAATAACCGTACGCCTGAGGCTAGTGCCCACCCAACCATGCCAACTGCTCAGCTACTCATATAGCCTCAGGGCTATGTGCAGTACTTCTCCGCAGATAAGGCATGGAGACTGGGTGGGAAACCCGCACTTGACGGACAACACTCTCTGTTCAGTGCCCGGGGAGTTTTCCCAGAGTTAGTGAGTGACTTTTAATGCACTCATACACTTCAATCAGAACTCCGAAATAACCACCGGTCCGCGACACATAGGGTGGTGTTATATTGACGTACCTAAAATATACTGGTTAATAGTTGTTTAAGGGCTTCATTTGCACATACTTGCACAACTTATTCTTCTCCCGATCCCGATTTCTGTCAATGATGGACATATTAAATTCTGATTCATTCGCACTTGCGTTTTGTTCTTTTCCTTTAATGATTTTAACGTTTTGCATTTACTTATACCCTTATTTATTTAAGTAGTATATTGACATTAGTAATAATATTATCCATGGTTGCTTTATCTTCTTACGACATACACTTCAATTTAATCATTTTCTTGTATTTATATGCTTTGATTTAGATGAATATTTCGTTTATTGCTTCATAAGTGTGAAGATCAAAAGTAAATGATGTATTCAATTGCAAAAGCACATTTTCATACATTCTTTGGAGAATAATAATGGGCTCCTATTGGAAACTCTTATATCCTGGTAAAGATTAATCTATGGGTAACTTCTGAGGTCTAATAATCGACTAACTTTATATACATATTCTCATTGTATAACTATTCAGTATATCTATATTCCTCTCATTATAAACTTCATTTTGACTTAACGGTCATTATTATAGGATTTACTATCCTTAAATTATACTCAGTTTATTAGTTCCAGTTTCCCACGTTCACAGCCACTTTTTGGCTTGGTGTTGTATAAATATTATTTCCTATTTTGTGGTCTGTTTGGCTGGTACATAAACCAAGTATGTTCGCAATAATTGATTCGCATAATGTAAGCTATTATTAACGTTCCGGACTCAACTGCAAGTGCTAGGTGGACAAAGGATACTAGGCTGTTCATATAGGTCGAATGTCATTCGTTTGGCACGGTACTAAGATTGTATAAGTCGTATTTGGATTATCGAATAAATAACGTGATAATTAGCCGGGCTTAAACTCACAACAAATTTGCGACAAGGGTTTTGCGGAAAAAAATACACAACAGAAACCATCAAAAATCAAATCGAGTGAAATGTTATCATGAATCAGTAGTAGTGAATATTTCACTATTTCGCTTGCTTCTCTGGAGCAATTTCATAGACTATAGACAGCGTCAACATTCAGCACGGACACTAGTATACATTCTAGAATGGCTTAACAAGGTGACAAAAACCCCATTATTAGTTCTACCCTTGATCATTTAATCGAAGCAAAGTGTTATATCCCCTGGTGAATTATGAATGGTGACTCTAAGGACTATTTATCGACCAATGTATTATGCGTATTTCCTATTGTACAATTGTTACGTAACTAAACGATTCATATTTGTGTTTCTCTTATCGTGAGCTTTATTTTGATCTTTGATTTATTATCATACGATTCTTGAGTTATACTCAGTTATTGATTACTTTGGTTTGTATAAAAACCCATTATGTTTGTAAATAATGATCCATATTGCCGAGGCTGTTATTTGTGTTCTGGACTCAACTGGCTGGGTTAAGCAGATCGCAGGACCGGTTAGCACACTAGTCTGCTCGTATGGGTTTCGTGTCACTGTTCCAATCGAGAATTCGCTCTCCCTAATTGGCGGTCTCATCAAGTCACACATCAACTACCCATCCACTCGGCCACAAGATATAACACAAAGCACTCAACTTACTCATTTGTTTATTTTAATGTTATTTATATAATCATTTCACATCTATCCAGTTTTTTTTGTACCAGAGCCTAAAAGCATAATAAGCTTTAGTTGTTCATAAGATGAAGCATGAACTTTACGTACAAAAGAAGTTTGTTTTATCTTTGTGTTCGCTGTGACCTTAACCCATTATTATTACTCCTGTAAACTGAATATCATTAATAATAGAGCGTAAAAGCACCATTGTTAACATTTCATGAATGTTATGACCCTAAAGTGTTGATCAATTTCGGCTGGTTAAATGTAATTCTTTTTTCAGGTATTTTGAATTATAAATAATCAAAAGTTTTATGAGCTGCAATAGTTACACCACATAATGGTCTGTATTATAATTAACAAGCTTGAAATGCTCGTTTACTTAGAAATGGCTGATGGCATTATAACACACTAGACTATTGGATTATTTAAACATATTAACGTATTTAATGGGACAAAAATACATTATTGTAGTGATACGGTAAATGTTTGTGTGAAAAACGATTCCTTGTGGTAGTTCTAGACTAATTTCATTTGTATAACTTAATAACAACGAGAAATAAACCTCTAACAAATTAGGAGCCATTTATATGAGCGTTAAAGAAAGTGGTCTGTCAATATGGAAAACATCTTTGTAATGGTGTTATAATGGGTGAGTGCCCAGTTATTATGTGAATATTATGAAACCGCCAATTAGAGAAGAGCGAATTATCGATTGAAGCAATAATACACAAAACCGTATTGAGCAGTCTTGATTACTTGTCAGTCCTGCTTTCTGCCTAGCCCAGCTAGTTAAGTCCAGAAAACCAATAACAGCCTCAGCAATATGAATCATTATTCACAAACATACTGGGTTTGTATACCAACCAAACAGACCACATCGTACCATAAAATAGAAAATAACATTTGTATAATATTTGGCTAAATGTGGCTGTGAATAGGGGGGAAAGTAATCAATAGACTGATGATAACTCAAGAATCGTATAATAATAGTTCAAAGGTCAAGATAAAGCTAATGATAAGAGAAACACGAATACTATTAGGTTAGTTACTTGACAACTATATAATAAGAAATATACATATTACATTGGTTCATTAATCGACCTCAGGGTTACCATTTCTAATTCTCTTCGGGATACAACAAATGGTATGTCAGTTTTGTCAATCATCCAACTTATGATATAGTCTTCAAATCTTTAAAAGTAGTTTCATACACTCTGAGTAAATCATTTGCCTCCATGCCTAATATCTCATCCATTATGACAGGAAGGTGGGAGTTAGAGAATTCATTACAAAATTAAACTGATATAAACCTTTTAAAATAAGACTAATCGTGAATTTTTATTTATGTGGAAAATTAAGTTCCTTAAGCATATTTCAATTGTCCAATATTTTAGCATCCCTTATAATCAGCACTATAGTTGAAGCAAAAGAATTAGTTATATCTTTATTTCGAACAGTACTTATTCCTGGGTACTTGTTTGAAGAACTTAAGCTTGGTACGAAAATGAAGTACACTGTTATGACAATTAGAAGTATTCGAATAATTGTACTAACCAGGAATTCCCGAAGTAGCGCAGTTTACAACAAGCAGAACTATTGTATTGTATTGTATTTGGAAATCGAAATCAACTTACAATACAGTACAAAAGAATCATCAGTTCGTACAAATAACACAACAGTTCAGAAACAGTCGTTTCGGCCATAAGGTGTATTAGAAAGGTTCCCCACATGTAAAATTAGGAGTTTTATAATAAAGTGATAGATTTTGCACTCAATATTAATAAACGCAAAACCTGTCTGTGTGCGTAGTTCAAGTGAAATAAACCTAAACTATAATTCAAATATAAATGGACTAATAGTGAACTTTGATGGGCCAAGATAATATTCAATTTAGAATCTCTTA